AGAACAAGGAACGCCTAAAAGGTGCAGGTCTCACTTGATTCTACAGCAGGGTTTTTTGTAATGGGAGTTATTGTTAGTTATTTGTAAATACATGGCAGCAGCACTCATCAAGAGAAAGACCACTACTACATGCTGTTTATCAAATGTCAGTTCTCTTGAAACCATTTGGACTTTAACTTACATTCGAAATGTTAACTCCTTTGTAGTCTTCAGATCCTGCGGATCTTCAGTTAAGTGCGCTCGACGTATTCGATATAAACACTAAGCTAAAGAAAAGCGACACTAGAGATCTCCACGGAACTTTTCTTCATACATGTTTCATCTCTTTACACTATTGATCAATGTATTCCATACGATGAATAGTATATTGTGAAGTGATGACGTGCTCATGATTATCAATACACGTATACATTATGCATACATTAAAACGCACGAGTGTGGAATATAATACGACACCAGGGAGGAAAAGTCTTCATGAGCTTCATGATGTTCACGTGTCATGAACTTCAGGAGTAGTATACAAACTCCAATTAAATCGAGCTGCACATTGACCTTTTTCTACGACTAATAGTAAGTATTAGCAGTTCAACCGTTACATTGAACTGATTGTACGCACAATTCAGACAATGCTTCCTAATGGATAGCCACTTATGTGACCCAGATGGCATTAATTAAGCGTAAGCACAGTCAGACCGCAACGAGTATAGGTGTCCAGTCAGAATTTAAGGTGAGTATTAACGAAATATCATCTAAGCTCAGAATCTGTTTATAAGTCTTATCAGCTTTATATATGATTGGCCCACAATCCTCCTCAGAGATTTCTGTATTTTGAGATTGGGAAATAGTGGAAGGCATAAGCGGTTTTCCTCACTTCTCCACGAGTTTCCTGGGCAGAATAATGTACACCATTCAAGGAAATATTTTCTACAATGAGAAGTTATTGATATTCATTTTCTGTATCTTCTAATTTGAGACAATAATTGGTATAGTTTAAAATGGCAACACTTCAAATACAACACATATAATTGGATTTTATTAAAATCCTTGTGTCTCATGTACCCACCATATTCAGTGTGTGGACGTGTTACGTGAAACACAGTTGTAATACAACTTATGTTGGGTGGCCTAGACAATTGATGGTCTACAGTCAGTAAAGGACGGGATCTTAAATGTACATGAAACGTAAGCATTTTAAAAAAGTCTAAATAAATGTGTTTTGAATTATGTGTTTCCGTTTTAATCTATACCAATGTTTATCTCAAACCATAAAATACAGAAAATAAATAACAACTAATAGACAATCAATAAAGATTAATAAGTGATTTTAAAAATGATTGAAAATGTCTCAATTGTTGGCCACGTTAACTTCTCTGTGATTAATAAAACACCTGTTCTATAACGAAGCTGAATCATGACGACTATCATTATGCAACGAGCTGAAGCCGTGAAATAAGAGAATTCTACAATGAGAAAAGAACAAACATGTTCGTAAAACATCAAAATCATAAAATCTTTACAAAAGGTACAGACTGTTATATGAGAGGGTGAGATGACTATTACTCGACGTAACCGGTAGTAGCTGGAAGCTTGTGCATCACTTTCCGGGTGGTCATTTGGACTCCAGACACGCGTCCAATCGCGCAGGGAATGCTTTGTCGGGGCTCCCCTTTCTTCTGGGAGGCATTCTGGCCATGTGCGGCTGCCAGCGACGTCGCGTCGCCTCGTTGGCTGTGATGTCGGCATGACACAGGCGGGAGATTCAGGTGATAGAGGGTAATGCAAAGAGGGACGATGTCACGGAGGGAGATAAGTCACATACGGAGTGGGAGGATATTCGCACAGATTGTGGAAAACGGGGTCAAGTGAAACAAAATAATAATGAAATCATCTTTGGTTTTACTTAAATTGACTGTTCCTCGTGGTGTATTAGGTCTTGGAACTTATGGGTTTATTATATCAGTGCTGCTATATTACTATATTTGTGCGCCACTCATATTTTGCAGTAAAAAAAGGATTAGTAAATAAAAAATTCTTATTTCCATCTTTATTAAAAAAAATTAATAAGCTTTATATAATAATCAAATGATGTTGAATCACGGTGGCTCCTTCACTCTTGATGCATTACTATCCGTTACTCCTTACAAGGGACTATATTATTTCACTCCAAAGATTATCTGCGTTGGAGTACTTCGTAATTCTTTAACGTTTTCTTTCCTTACCGTAGTATAGGGAGGAAAAGTACTAGAATCGCCACTGCGATGAGACGTGACAAATATAATGTCAATGGGGGATTATTATGGGGATTAAGTGCAAAGCGCTTAACGTCTCCCAAAGGACTTGGGCGAGGTGACGTCAGACGAAACAATTTAAAAAAGTTATAATATGATTTTCGAATTGCCAATCGTAAAATCCCTGTTCAATAGTAATTTAAGCAATTAGATTATAATGTTAAGCTTTAGTGCATGAATCTTGAAAACGAGCGACATTAGAGGCGAATTTGTACGAATGCAATAAAGCAACATTATAAACAAGTTACTTACGATAATATTTGTATAACAGCATTATAAATTTATGATAGAATCAAACTTAATTTTTTACGACAGTACTTTATAGTGACGTTTCGGGTATTAGATATTGTGCGAGAAAACAGTAGTTGGCTGTTCCGTTTACCACAACCTCCCCTCGATTTGAGAGCGTAGGCTTCCGCGGCCGGAGTCAGTATTTACTAGGCTGTCCGGGTAATGCGAATTACGCCCTGAGGAAGGTCGCAGATTGGCGACCGAAACGTCGGCACCTTCGCCATGGACGCGGCGTCACCCGGACAGCCTAGTAAATACTCCCCTCGATTTTCTCGCTGCGATTGGCTGAATGTGGGATGACGCAATCATTCGTGGTGTAAAATGCTAATACGTCTTCATTCGTGCCATACTATGCCCATTTGTGAACGATTTATTGTAACAGAAAAGGTTGTTTATATTGTTGGTATACAAAAAATTATGTTAGGCAATATACTTGCACTAACACCGGAAAAGATGAGCGAAAACAAAATTCTAACGGCTCCAGCTTACGCGTGATCGATCCCTGCAAGGCGCCAACAAAAGTCTTGATAATCTAACATCAGTGAGTTTGTTGGGCCTGCTGTGTTAACGGCTGTGGTAATTATTCCCGTACGTGTAGTAAATGTTTTATCATGTAGGAAAACTGCAGAAAGAGTGTGTGTAAGCGGGCATAAAAGAGGAAGAATTGCGCACAGTCCGTGGCGCATTTATGAAGTTACTGCTACTCATGCGCTTGATGTTGATCGTCCTGAGAATCCTCGGAAAACTAGGCATAGAGTAGCCGACAACTGGAAGTCTCCTCCAGACCGGGGCTGAATTGGAACCAGCTGTCTATCTAGTGTCGAAAATCGCCACCGTTTGGACTCAAAACCCTGGGTCCTCTCGGACAGCGTCGCGGTAGAGACAAAGGCAATGCTGGCTATCAGCTCACCCAGAGAATCAGTGATTTCCATAGTTTTCCAGATCACGTCCAGGGGAGAGCCACAGCAACCCTCTATTAACAGAATCTCGGATGCCGCGCACTTTTCCTGTACTTTTCCTCCCCATCATCATGATTATCATTGCCCTTAAATGCGGATTGGGGCATCATGACAGAGTACTTTCCGCTCTAACAAATCCCTTCGTAATTTGCATGCGCCAGGGAAGGACTAACGCTGAGAACCAGGGGTGACACAACAGCACATACTTTTTCGCATTATAACTAACTTTTGCAATTTTCAAAAATTCAGAGAGTTTAACAAAATGCGACCTGCGGCATTCTTTTAAGCTTTTATTACGATACACAAGGACGAAGTTAAATAAAAAAAATTGGTACCACTTTTTTATAAAATATCAAACTGATTTGATTTTTGAGTAAAATATCCATCAGAAGTTAAATTATCCACTTGAAAGTCCCAAAGCTTCGAGTTTCAGTTCGATCGGGGAATATAAATGTTGAAGCAAATTAGCTGAACAGCTTAGGTGCTGGCGTTGAACGTAGAAAGGCGATAGACGTTTTGAGTCAAAGTAGTTTTCGTTCGCAGGGACCCACTAAATATGAATTTCGATTACACAACGCATTACGCGAAGTTATATACTATACATAGGAACAAGATTTATCCACATTTTCCTTCATCAAGGTCCGATAATAAGAATTTCTCTGTCCACCAATCGCTAATTTGTTGCGCACAAGTACAATTCTTTATTTTTTTAAAGAGAAAGGCTAGAAATTAAAAATTAAAAAGTAGAAGAAATGCGAGAAAGTAAATTTAATTAATTGTAAAATCCATAAATATGCTACATGATGCAATGACAGACGACCGGCAAATATGAACATTTCATCACTGCGTAAGTCACTCCCACTGGGCGTCCAGTATCGGCAGTAACGCAAACCAATAAAAGGTATCCACTGCTGACACACACAATGAATAATTAAGAAGCGATCGGTTAACAATAAACGGAAGTTTCAGTGGGAGTGGATGAGAAACTGGTTTTTCGACAAAGACTCTAAAATAATTATGGCTTCCTAACACGGTTTTTACAGTATCCTGTAGTATACGCCAAGGAAACTGGTAACAGAGCGCGGTTACAACGTGATTTTGACGTCGGTGTAAATATATATAGCGAAATGTGATTGGACAATACGCTGAAAACAAATGAAAGTGTTAGTAAATACAAGACTCATTTATATTTTACATTAACAAGGATGGATGTCTGTAGCGAAAATTGAAATGCTTATTAATAAGTACTATAACGTATCTCTTATTCGAATGTCTGTATTAATTCCCTCAAAGCATTTATAAAATTATATTATTATCAAAGAAGAGACAAAAATAAGAGAAAATAATGAGTTAAGTAAGAAAGAGTAGAAAGCATGAAATTATAAAAATTGTGAAGTGTTTGTTTTAATTATTTTATCTTTTTCAACGGAACGCGTATTGGCTTGTAGAGGGATTTTCACAGATTTGTAATAAACACTGAAAATATTCATAAAGGATCAGATAAAAATAGATCAACAATGTTAAAAATGAAGATTGAAAGAATAGAACTAATGGATAGAGGACGAATTGATGATTTTCTTCTTAGGGCTAGATCTCTATCATTCGAGATTACAGAGTTAGGCTTGAATACTGAAGAAGAACTTGTTCATTTTATTAACAATGGGGTACCATTGATATTTAGTAACGTTACTACTGCTCTATACGCTATCTCAAACGTGGACTTCGAATTATTAAGGGATAGTCTAATTCGCTATGAGAAGAAATGTATCCAACATGATTACCGCAGCAATGTAATGGCTTATAAATCACAAGAAACGAAGAAATTAGATTGTTATATTTGTGTAAAAGTTGGTAATTATGCAAAACACTGTTGTCCTAAGAAGAAATTCGAGAATGAACTTGAAGATTCAGAATCAACGACGAAAATTAAATGTTAACAAAAATAGGAGTAATGAATGGAACAACCGTAGACCTGGAACATATAAAGATTCGAGAAAGAGTCATGCTATGATTGCTAAGGAAAACGACGAATTATTATGTAGTAGAGAAAATATTGCATAGTTACTCTATTCACGCATATGACATCCAGAGAGGATATATTAAATTATACAAAACCATTTAAAGAGGAAATATCAACTGTGGAATCCGGAAGAAAATTATTCAAGGGTTTTTTGGAAACATTCCGGGATTTTGTGTATAACAAGGAAACCAGATTATCAAGGCAAACATACATAACGTAATGAATGTTTCTAATCTTAACTTAAATATATCTGTTTCTAGCTTAGTTAAGAAACTTAAAAGGATCGTTCTTGATAAGAATCGAGGCAACATTTATAACACTAATGATAATGCTCTTATAGCAAAGGGATATTTTGATGGTGATAGTTTTACATTAAAAATGAATGCAGTATTAAGAAAATAAAATAATATGGCAACGAATTATTACGAAGACAATGAACAGTCTAATAAGTGCAGAAAAACAGAAAATTGTATTAAGTGAAGAGAAATAATAATTATCTTGTGATATAGAAGACTCAAGATTATATTCACAAAAAATGAAGGGAAAACGTAGTAAGAGGTCTCGAAAATTTTCAAGTTGAACATGAATGGTGAGAATTGCATACGTGGAAAGCGTTTAAAATTACCTTCAAAAATAATTACGAATGAAACTACTATATGCATATCAGAAATATTACACGTGGATCTCTGTGGTCTTATGCCCAATAATTCTTCAGGGAAATAAATATACATTAGTTATAGTGGATGATTATAGTAGAAGATAATTTATCTAATTTTAAAATACAAACAGAATGCATAAATATTTAAACTTATAAATAGAAGAGAAAACGAAACGGGCTGTAAAGTATAACATATCACACAACGGTGGAGATTAGTAAATGAATATTTGAGAACATATTTGAGAACAAATTTGACGCATGCGCATTGGGCGTTGACCAGTGATTTAACGTGCTGCCTGCCCGCACAGGAGACTCCAATTTCCACTGACATGCACGCCGCGCATTGCTTGTGTTCACTATTTTGTTTGTGAGTTAACAAAGCGGAGACTGTTATTATTATTTAAGAAGTATTAATTTTTCATTTTAATTTAGTATGCTGTAAATTTATTAGTGATACTTAATTGTTGTAAATTATTATCTGATTTTACGTTAATGTTATGAGAGATACGATAAATGAATTACTACGTACACGGTTTTCTATACTTAACGATGCAGAAAAGCGATACGTTTTGGACAATGGCCAACCTACTTCTATGTTGAGTACACTTGTACACCCTGAAGGCGAGAAAAAATGAAACAAAATTCAAACCTTCATGGTATGGTTCATACAAATGGCTAAGAGATAGTGCTTTATTATTGGTAATGTCTTTTATTGTCAAGTAAAGAGAGTACGTGGAATAGAAATGGATATTTTACCATGAAAAATGAATCAAAAGCTTTACAAAAACATGAAATGTCAAATGATCACATTTTTAATTCGGTGAATCTTAAACGCATGAAAAAATCATATTTCTGGAATATTTTCAGGGTAATACACTCTCACAACACTTTCTGTAGAATATGAATATCTTGAAAGTATGTCTGTGTGTGCTGCACGAAAATAATGGCTTGGAATATCATGAATCTGTGAATTAATCAATTTTAATGAATAAACTGATAAAATTACAAAAAGTGGAATGAGGTGGGGTATGGCTCCTATGCCCCATGGAAATAATGGTAGAGACAAATTATTTTAAGAATCGGTCCATGTGAGTTCGGCAAAGAGACTGCATGGTTTATCTATAAAGGGCAGGGTGAGTTAACTCGATGGCATGGAGTTCGAATCTCGACACGGAAAATATATTGCTTGTTGGAAAAACTTCTACTGTTTCATGTATTAGTTTAAAATTGTGGAAGCGGAACAAATAATGCGTGATTATGTGCTGTTGGAGCACTACTCGTTTTCTCACGTAATGGCATCCATTAATTTACAATTATGTTGTAAAATATTTCTCTATTTTTGGCATATTTCGTAAAAGTAAAATATCTGCCAAGGAAATATGTAAGAGATGTTGCGTAAATATGTTTTATATACCAGCTTTATAAACGATCATATTTGTTGTAATAAATCCTTCATAAAATGGCATCTTATTGCACAAAACATGACGTATTTGCTGTTTACGACTCTAATAATTTCGTCATCGCACATTCAGCCAAATACAGTGAGAAAATCGTGAGGAGAGCGGTAAACATAACAGGCAATCGAATCGCACGTGTGAATTGTGGAAGGTGGAGGTAAACGAACTGCCGCCCAACGGTTTTTTCTCAAAGTTGTCAAATATTTTTGACTTCGTAATAAAACTGTTTTCAAAAATTAGTTTTGTTTCTCTTATCATTGTTTAAAGCTTTTATACAAAAAAATAACTACCTCATAACGTCGCTTGCTTTCAAAACATGTACATGTATAAGTACATGTTTGCAACAGCTATCTTATATTTTAACCTTCTAAACTAGTTGCATAATATACTATCTTTTCTCTGAATGCAAAGTAAAGTTTTGATATATTTGAATATATTTTCCCATTGGAAGTACTGAATTGTTTCTGATAATGACATGAATCCGATGAGAATGAGATCCAAGATATATGTGGTACTAAATAGAAAGTCATTCAAAATCAGTCACATCTCGAATTAATCCTGCGATTCTTTCCGTAACTGATTGAGGCGATCAAATTAACTCATTTTACAGAAGAAACAAAATAGAACATTCAACCATTTTTTAAGATTTGAAACTGTGAATAGAAAAATGCCGAGATTTTGTGATCACTGACATTTGAATTTTTGTGGCACGTAACACTTTTACGATTAACCGAATATGTAAATATACTTTGCAGCCTTGGTTTTCTTGGTGATTTTTCATTTCCTTTTTATTGGCATTGCAAGTTACATTACTATGTACTATAGTGCTTTTGCATATGTATTTTTGGCGACTTAAATTAATCTTAAAAACTAACTTAAACTAGCTACTCAGGGTAAGGGAGTTCATTTAGAGCCTTTCTTATTCTCCAACTCCTTTGGCATTCATGAAGAGGCGACGTTATCTCGCCGAGAAATTCCTCATGGCGAGGAAAGAGGCCGCGTGGCTGGCGAAGGCCGAGCGGAGGGCGGGCAGGCGTGGGCGAGAAGCGCTCTCGCTCTCTCCAGCTGGCAAACATTGCGTCAGGGTGCGTAAGAGAAGTCGCCTCCGCCGCCGCCGCCGCACCTCGCCCGCGACGCGCGCCACGCCCCCTGCCCCCCTTCTTAAAGATTTTTTTTACTTGTGTGGCGTCATACGGGTGTAATCGGATCACAGACGAAAGTAGTTTGTAAAACAGTAGATTTATTCAGAATCTACACCGTAGTCTCAATTTAACAACTACCCTGCTCACAGTAAACTAAATAAATAGACCCACTACAAGGAGAGAGAATTTACGAACGGCTACCACGCCGCAACGTACTACCGATGTTCCCTGCGTGAAGCACCGCACTACCTCGAGACCATCTACGCGTCTCGCAAGTCACGACAATAAATAGCCGGCCTCTCGCCCTAGTGCACCTACACACAGACACGCACATCACCTGTCGCCGACGTCGCTAGAACAAGAAGGCTGGGGCATTGTTCTCCTGGCCTTACATAGGCCCTTTTACGCTACCCGCCGCCCCCATTGCCTCGTCGCAAACGCCGCCCTGGCCCTGGCCACGTCCACGGAAAGTCCCAGTGCGTTATCACTCCGCCCTTTGTTCAACATCCGGCGATGCCCGCCGAGTGCCACATGCCTAATGCCTTCAACTCCGTTTTGTAGCGCAACACGATGCTACACTTGTTTAGTGGGTCTCGTGGAAAGGGGGCTCATTGCTCAGCGCGTTCACTTTCCATGACGCAACCCTGGGTTCGATTCCCGGTCGGGCAAGATTATAGGGTGCATTATGTTTGCAATGTTCCATTACATGTTCCTCTGTGACAATGAGAAATCTTACTTCTCAGATTGAGAAGACTAGTATACAGCGCAGGGATGTCTTCGTGCTAACCATTCGTACCCTTTAAATCCATGGGTGCAAGGCTGAAATGCTGCTGGTAGGCCCTGGTTCGTTCGCGGGCTGTTGCTCCTAGTACAGACTTCTTTAAGGTTGCTTTTCAGCCACTAAGGTCATGTAGCGACACTGTAAGTAACGTTGAGGGTCATGGTAACGGTATACGGACACACGCAAACATCCATGTCCCCGGCGGGATTCGAAACCCACCCTCAGTGACCTTGTCTATCCAGGGCGGCCTTGCCAGCTTTGGACGCTCAACTTATTTGCCATCGCAACAACACTTAATCGAGGATTCATTCGTTGATATTTCTGTGCTGATCAACTGCTCCAGTCATTAGTCCCGTTAGCGAATGTTTTATCCTGAGAAGAGGCGGTCACCCCTCCCCCCTCGCTGAATGATGATATCCAGCGCCCACCCACACGTTAGCTTGCTCTCCCCAAGCTGTATACTTCTCCCTCGAGGCACCACTCCAGTCAAGACATGCTCTAAGGTCGAGACGTGTGTAGTAGTGTAACGTATCAGCAAAGAGAATAGGACAAGGCAAAGAAAAGAAAGATTGCGCGCGGTCCGTGACGCGTTTGGTTGGTTATTTCTTGGGGATTAGTCTGATATTGATTGGAGAAATCACTGAAAACTACCGGTCAGAGTTGCATCTGAAGTTATTCTCTATACAACGACTCAATTCTCGCCTGCTACAAATCTATCTAGAGTAGAAAAAAGCATATCTCGAACCCAAGCACCTCTAGGTCGGAGTCATTCTGAACTCAACTTCGCCAGCTCGGGACTTCACATGAAAAAAAGAACAGTTGCAGTATACCAGTTCCATGATACTGTAACAAGATAACTTACAATGTACTTGTTAAAAC